AGCACATACTAGCTTCTTTTGCTCATACTATGTCTATGAGATTTATCTATATTGCTGTAAATATCTATTTGCAATACCTGGCCAGATAGTGTAAGTCCTCCAATTTGATTCTTTTCAGAGATTGTCTTGGATATTCTAGGATCATTGTATCCCTATTTAAATTACAAAATCTGACTCTAATTTACACAAAAAAACTGCTAGGATTTTGACTGAGATAGCATTGAATATAGATTAATTTGGGAGGAATTGACATCTCTCCCATTTAACATAATAATACTGACTCTACCAATCCATGGACATGGTATATTTCTACATTTAATGTGGTTTTCCTTATTTCTCTCAGCAATGTTTTCTAGTTTTAGTTTAGGCCTTATGTATCTTTCCTTATATTTATCCTAGGCATCCTAGGATGATATGGTTAATGTTAATGTAGTTAATTTATTTTTAATTTTTATCTTTCTACTGTTTATTCTTATATATAAATTATTATATAGTTTTATAAAATTATATAGACAAGTTCATAATTTTATACAATCGTATACAATTATACATAAATTATACAATGTATAAAATACACAATTTTTGGTTTTATTGATAGTATTACTTTATTAATTTTACTATTTTAATTGCTTTCCTTTACCCTGAAGTTTTAAAAATGTTATTTACAATAGTATCAAGACATACATGGAATACTTAAAATTAAATCTTCAAAAGTTGTATAAAACCGGTCACTGAAAACTAGAAAGCAGTACTGAGAGAGATTAAAGAAGACCTATATGAATGGAGACATATGATGTGCCTGTGTTGAAAGCCTCAATGTTAAAATATCATTTTCCCAAATTGATCTATAGAAAAACAAAATACCAGTTAAACTCCCAGAAGGAATACTTGTAATAATTGATAACTTTATTTTAAAATTCATATGGAAATGCCAAGGACTTAAAATAATCAAGAGAACTTTGGGGCCGGCCCGGTGGCGCACTGGATAGTGCGCTGCTTGGGAAGCGCGGTGGCGCTCCCACCCGAGGGTTCGGATCCCACATACAGACCGGTTCCCGCTCACTGGCTGAGCGAGGCG